TTCCAGCGCCGCATCGCGCCGCAGCCCCGCGCGGCAGGCGGTGGCCGGCGCTCTGCGTGTTGGGCCGGGTGGCCGGGTGTACCACCGCGCTGGGGGACCCGCGCTTAACCCTTGGGGGCCCGGCGCGGGCGACGCGTGCGGGACAACCGGAGGGGGTGCGCACTCCCCGGGCCCAGCCACCCTGCGCCCGAGGCCTCTCGTCCGGGCACCCGCATGCTCGCCCCGCTGGGGCGACTCGAGGGACTCGGGACACTGTGAAGCACTTTCCCCAGTGTCTGGGGGCGTCCAATGCCAGCCCAGCTTCCCTTCCCTCGAACTGGGGCCACTTGGCTCCCAGGTTCTGGCTGCGACCCCAGGTTATGAGTGCCCACCCGAGGGGGGAGGTGGGAAAAGTTGATCCTCCGTAAGTGAGGGAAGGTGCGATTCATTTTCCCAGACAACCAATGGAATACCTCTCGTCTCTCTTCCCTCCCACTTGCTCACGGCAGAAGTTAGGATCGCGCCTTCCATCTCGGCCTGTGTGCACATGCAAGTGTGAAAGGGCGGCAGCGGGAGGAGGTGACACCGAAGGCAGTCCTGCAGCCCTGCTCCGCTGCGCTGTGCTCAGACCTCTCCCTCCCTGAGCCCCGAAGCGCGAGTGTATGGCGCTGTGTGTCTCAGTTACAACAGGAATGCCGGCTCTGACAGCGCACCTCTTCACACTCTACAAGGAGCCCATCATTCTGATTAGCCGGGCCCCACCCGAGCAGGAGCCAGGCAAGAGTGTTCAATCTGAGCAGAAGAGGAGGAATCATGAATTCAACAGATCTGTCCCGAGCCCCTCAGGCGCGAAAGGAGGGACTGGGATGAAGGAGACGCGGCTCCCGCCCTGCAGGACTTTCAGGGACGCATCGGGAAGGCCAGCGCGGCCCTGTGAACGGGACAGACAAGACCTCTGCTTAGCTGGGGGAAGACGGGGTGACTTCCCGCGAGGAGAGTGAGGAAGGGACTGTGGGCCGTGAGGGGGACACAATGTGCAGGCCTTCCAGGTGGAGAGGACAGGGGACAAAGGTAACGTGCGGAAAATGTCGCTTCAGAGCAGTTGAGTGTGGCCGGGGCAGCAGCCACCAGAGAAGGCTGTGGCCTGGCTGAGGAGGCTGCTGGGGGCAGTCCCAGGCACCAGGTTGACCAGCTTCGCCTGGTGCCATCCTAGGAGAAGTCTCTTCTACCTTCCATGAACCAAAACAGCATCTGGCCAAATTCTTCCTGGACCACTTATGAAACACCTACTACTCAGCTGGTCCCGAAAGAAATTCCTCTGTGCTGAGCCTGAGCCGGTTAACCCCCTGCTTAAAGGCCAGAGGGGGCAGGACTAGTAAAGATTCATTGGTTTAACTCACAGTCCTCCCCTTACCTGTATGACCTCGGGCAAGTTATTGAGCCTCATCTTCCTTATCTGCAAAAGAAATAAATGCTACTTCATCCTAAAGAGTCCTTGTCAGGATTAAATGAGGCAATAAATTCAAGGCTCAAGGCCTAGGGAGACCAAAAATGTAGTGGAGGGGTCATGAGGCACCTCTGGTTCCCGGATGCATGCAGCACCCTCGGCCCGCCGTGTGTCTCCTTAAATGTGTGCTGTGCTCCCCAGGAGTGAGAATCAAGAACTCAGGCATGGTCCTCTAGCCAAGGCAGATCCTCCTGACGCAGAAGAGCATGAGACTTAGAGCCCAGACAGTTTGGGCTGTACGATCTTGATCAAGGCCCTTAACTTCTCTGAGCCTCAGTTTCTGCATATATTGGTGGTAATAATATAAAGTACTTCACAGGATTGTTTGTGGATCATGTAGATCACATATGAAAGCTGTTGCCATATGCCTAGCAGAGAGGAGGACACGTGAGTAGTAACTACTCCTTATTATTAACCCTGATAACTACCAGTGTCCTGTTGAGACGGGGAGTAAGCTGAGTAGAGTCAGGCTCCACATCCCACTCCCCCCAACAGGTGGTGCAGAAGGAATTCAGGTTACAACCTGGGGTTTGTGGGTAGGCACATTGGAGAGGCAAACATCAGGGGCAATTGAAACATCTGTGATACTTTAAAAAAATCGTAAGTCTAAAGTTATCTTGTTTCTTTAGCAAATATGTATATATATATATTGCTGTTTTCATAATGTGTTTAATAGAGTGTTTAATAAAGTCTAGCTTAGTTTATTCAGGGAATAATTGCTAAATTACCCATCTTTCTTCTTTGAGATGATATCAAAATAATAAAGAGCATCTATAGAATTAATCAAACGCTATTTATTCGAAGCTTACTCTAATAAGAGAGTCAGCTACTGGCACTTCTGGCAGAGACTGGACGGAATTTTTAAAGGAAAGGGGGCTTTGTAGAGTGGAAGGATGGTTGAGGTGATATGATCTGGTGAATAGTTTTGTTTCTTACTAGCTGTGTGAATCTTGGCAAGTTACTTAACCTCTCTGAGCTTCAGTTTGTTATCTGCAGAGCATACCTGCTTTACAATGGTGTTGATAGAATTAGGTGAAATTAAAGGAGATGATGCATGTAATTCGTTCTTATTATAATTGTATTTTTCTTCAATTTAAAAAATCTGTTAAACAGCAATAAAGGAGCATCCTTTATTTCCTCCAGCAGTTGGGAAACAGCAAGAATAATTTTAAGTAATAGGAAAAGTTTTTTTTAAAAAAGTTTTTTTCTGTTAACTTATACAGGGTTAAACTAATGCAGAACTCATGTACTTTTGTTTGAACAGGAACATGAACCTGAGGAGAAAGACCTAGAACTTGGATGAAACTTTTGCAACCAAGACTCTGCTTCTTTGGTTTCTTTTTCCCAGTTTCCACCATCTCCAGCTTCTGCTTCTGCTGTTTTTGAAAACTAGCCATTGCTGGCCTGGGGCAAGGTTCTTAACTCCTTTCCTTGGGGCTCACTCCTTGGGTTTGGTTCTTTCTAAGCACAGACCACTGGCTCCCACCTACTTCTGGAGGTGAAGCCACAGGACACAGGGAGGGGTGGGGAGCTCACCTGGAGCCAGCACTTCCAGCTGGCAGTGCCTGGGTGGGAAATGCCCAGTGAGCCGGAAAGAGACCCTTCAGGGTACTCCGTTTCCTGCAACATTTATAAGGCCTTCTACAGAGCCTTGGTGGATCCTGGTTTTGAAACCCACAGAAATTCAATAGCTCTGCTGATCATTCACATCTCTGCCTCTAGATTTTGAATTAAGGATGTGCTGCAGCTGACAAACAAATTCTTCCCACTTTGATAATTCTTTCACTTTATTCCCGTTGGTATTTGTAAGAAGAATACACTTAGATTCTCAAAATGGTGACTTCTATCAATATCATTCAGAGGTATTAGAAGAAATTAGAGGATGAGAAGAGATTAGAGATTTAGAGATGTTAGAAGAGACTGAAAAACAAACTGAGTCATAGTGATTTGGAGAAGACAGATTCACCCAACAAGCATTCTGATGAAAACTTTTTGAAAATGCTTTGAGTGAGTAAAGGGAAAGTAGATATTTGACTGACCTGAACAGACCAGAATAAAGAAAAACAGAGAGGTGGGTGTCATCCGCCAGTTGATTACACTGTGTAGGAATGGGATTAGAACACTATTTGTGGAGGTATAAAAACTTTTGGTGGCATATATTCATTCATTTATTCAAGGAGCATGCATTCATTGAGAGCCTACCACTGCGGGTGCCGTTGGAGAGACAAGTAGTCCCAATAAAGCATAAGATGTGTTCTTATCCCTTAAGAGACTTCCAATCCAGTAAAGTAGAAACAATTGCATTTCAGTGGGAAACGTGTCATGGTAAATTTAGACACAGCCTTTGGAACACAGAGGATGAAGCCACTAAGTGGTTGCCAGATGTGGGAGAGGCTCTGTGGACACAGGGAGGGAAGGGAAGGAAGAACATAGAGGAGGCGTAAGGAATGCTGATCTTCCCCACATGCGGGGACTTAAAAAGAGCTTTTTCAAAAGACAGACTTAACCAAAGACGAATGGTAATATTCTAGTAAGCCCACTATTGAGCCCAGGTCTGTGAAGGACATTTCCAGACATAGTTTCCCCATCTAACAATGCAGCAAGGGCAGCATTGTGGTACCAATTGTACATAGGACACTAAAGCTCAGAGAGGATGGCTTGCCTGGGGTTGAAGGTTAAGTGACAGACTCAGGAGCCAAACTATTTAGATTTGGTATCTTGACAAGTTACTAGGCTTCTCTGTGCCTCAGTTTCCT